CCCATTTGTACAGAAGTTGAGATGACATTTCCTATGAGAGAACTGTGGCTCTTGTTTCTGATGATAACGTGAAATGATTAAAGCCATCCTAACCTGCTCTGTCTGGTTTAATGAATCTACTAATTATAGAAGGGATTCTTTAAAAAGCTCCCGTTTTCCTTCAGTTTGCTTTAACTTAGTGTTATGCTCTGCTTCTGAGTGGGCTTAAAATCCTGTGTGCAAACGCTAGAGCATGCAAGAGGTTAAAAAAAGGAGTGATGTCAACCTTTTTGCTCATTAATTTAACTCCATATGTTGTTCTTTGAGCAAATTCCTGTTATTAGAGCAAAAATTATTCGACTTAGACAAATTTATTTGTCATTTTGTTTACACAAGTGTAAAACAAAAATAAATTTGGTTTGAAACAGCTCTCTGGACAATTTCATCTTTTTTAAAAGTGCAGCCTTGGAAAAAATAGTAAAAAATATATAAAAACATTAATATAACCTAACATTAATTAAAACATTAATATAATCTAACATTTTCATTCTTTTATATAATGATAAAATATGATAAATATAATAAATATTAAACAAAATAAGTTATGTAACTTCCTGTTCATATTCTAAAAAACAGTTTTAATGTGTTTTTAACCTACAATAACAATACAAAACTGTATAGTTTTCAGATATTTCACCAAAATACACTTGTTTATGCAAGTTATAGAAGGAAACACAATGCGGATTTTAAGAATAGCCTTTTTTTTTGACATCATAGAATAAATGTAATTCACGTATTGCTGTTTATGGAAAAATAAAAATCTGCAATAGTGTTTTATTTTATAAATGAGCTGTAAAAGGGTTAAAAATTCAAAGATTAAAAAGTGTGAATTATTTGTCAAATAAATGTCAAGTAGAAAATAAACGCAGAAATATTTTGCTTTTATTAATATAAAGAAAAAAAAACTCTTCCTCACCCGGCGCAGGTGGTCTCCTTTTTTTTTCCCCCTCCAAGCTCGGGTCCTCTACCAGAGGCCTGGGAGTATCTTTGCTGTTCCTAGAACCGCAGTTTTCTAAATCAGGTTTTTTCTGCTGTAACCTCTCCTCCAGTTTGGGGGTCACTGGCCCGAGTACCCCAATGACCACAGGTACCGCTGATGCTACGACCTCGACCTCCCACGATTTCTGCAGCTCTTTTCTGAGCCCCCGGTATTTACTAGTTTCTCCTGTTCCTTTTCTCTAATGTTGCAGTCACTTGGTACTGCTATGTTAACCACAACTGCATTCCTCTGCTTTTTGTCCACCACTGCAATGTCCGGCATATATACAAAGCTAGGACATATGGGAATTATGTTTTTTCTAAATCAAACAGAAAAGCAAATTATTCTTTAAAATCTTGTGGAAATCTATCTAGTAAAACAACTGCAGTGCTGCTCTTCAAGTACGAATGTAATGCAGATGTCTAAAGACTTCCTGTGTTACAGCATTTTTCAATTGGATGCAGACAAATGTTGCATGAAACAGATTAGGCCTTTGGAAGGAGCTGCATGTCTCAGCTGAGCTGATCCATGTTCTGACACATCTAGAACCTTTTACATCAGGCCAGTTTTATAGAAGTGGTGTCTCTGGTTAACCAGACTAAAACTCATCCAGAAGACAAGAAGCAGGGCAAAAGGATTTTTAAATCAGGGTTGTTTTTTTATTAATTCACATATATATGCATTTTTATGAAAGTTTTCATAAAAGTCTTTCTGAGAGTCTTATTTCTGTAGAATGTTTGTTCTTTAGAATAGTTTAACTATATTTAACACAAGTATTTCAGCTTTAACCAAGAATTTCTACTATCAAAATTGTAGTAATTTCTTCCACTTTACCCTGTGTGTTTTGAAAAACAAAACAATTCAGTATTGAAGAGTTGAGAGGGCGGTCCTTTGATTTGCTGAAAGAAACCCATTTTAATTTAAATTCTAATTGAATGTTTATCTTACTTGTTTTTATTGATACAGACGTTGTGACCTAAATGATGCCTGCCAGCATCAATATTAATCAATTAATAATAAGGGAAGGGACTCCAACATGAACAGATCTAATTTATACACCGAAATATAAACCTAATTCCATGATACATATGAGCAAGAATAGAAAAAATGACCCATATGACAGTGAGGAAAATAAGCATTTGAACACCCTACTGTGCTATTTTGCAAGTTTTCCCACTTAGAAATCATGGAGGGGGTCTGAAGTTGTTATCCTAGGTGCATGTCCACTGTGAGAGACCTTAACTAAAAAAAAAACAGAAATCACAACGTATGATTTTTTAAACTATTTGTTTCTATTATAGAGCCACAAATAAGTATTTAAATACCTGTCTATCAGCTAGAATTCTGACCCTCAAAGACCTGTTAGTCTGGCTTCAAAATGTCCACGCCCACGCCATTTAACATCCTAAATTAGATGCACCTGTTTGAGGTCGTTAGCTGCATGAAAACACCTGTCCACCCCATACAATCAGTAAGAATCCAACAACTAACATGGCCCAGACCAAAGAGCTGTCCAAGGACACAAAATTGTAAACCTCCACAAGGCTGGAAAGAGCTACGGGGAAATTCCCAAGCAGCTTGGTGAAAAAAGGTCCACTGTTGGAGAAATCATGAGCTAAACATGAGTGTTAATCTCCCTCAGACTGGGGCTTCATGCAAGATCTCACCTTGTGGGGTCTCAATGATCCTAAGAAAGTAGAGAAATCAACCAAGAACTACACGGGAGGAGCTGGTCAACGACCTGAAAAGAGCTGGGACCACCGTTTCCAAAGGTTACTGTTGGTAATACATCATGGTTTGAATTCATGCATGGCACGGAAGGTTCCCCTGAATAATCAGCAAATTGTAAGGGCCCATCTTAAGTTTGTCAATGATCCTTTGGATGATCCAGAGGAGTCATGGGAGAAAGTCATGTGGTCAGATGAGACCAAAATAGAAATTTTTGGTCATAATTCCACTAAAAGTGTTTGGAGGAAGAAGAATGATGAGTACCATCCCAAGAACACCATCCCTACTGTGAAGCATGGGGGTGGTAGCATCATGCTTTGGGGGTGTTTTTCTATTACTGAAAGGCAGCTGTGCTGTATTAAGTAGAGGGTGACCAGGGCCATGCATTTGGGGAACAAATTCATTTTCTCACTTGGAACATTGAAGATGGGTCGAGGCCGGGTTTTCAAACATCACAATGACCCGAAGCACACAGCCAGGATAACCAAGGAGTGCCTCTGGAGAAGCATATATCGGTTCTGGTGTGGCCTAGCCAGTCTCCAGACCTTAACCCAATAGAGAAGCTTTGGAGGGAGCTCAAACTCTGTGTTTCTTAGCAACAGCCCAGAAACCTTTCTGATCTAGAGAAGATCTGTTTAGAGGAATGGGCCAAAATCCCTTCTGCAGTTTGAGCAAATCTGATGAAAAATTACAGGAAATGTTTGAACTCTGTAATTGCAAACAAAGGCTAATGTACCAAATATTAACACTGATTTTCTCAGGCGTTCAAATACTTATTAGCAGCTTTATCATACAAATAAATGGTTAATAAAAATCATGCACTGCCTCCCAGTGGAAATGCACCTACAATGACAATTTCAGACCCCCTCCATGATTTCTGTGGGAGAACTTGCAAAATAGCAGGGTGTTCAAATACTTATTTTCCTCACTGTATGTTGTAATGGTATCTGAAGGGATTGTTCCGACATTTACTGGGCGATTACCTAAAGAAGATAATCACCTTAACTCTTCTGTTAGCACTTGATTTACCACATTCTTAACACCTAAACAGATATCTAATCATTTCCAGGTTGCAAATTAACAGGTTTTTTTTTTATCCTGTGATAATCACTTTTTCAAGTTAATGGATTGTTCCATTTTATCCTTTTAAAATATTTTGTTGATAGAACGGATAAATTAATCATATACAACAGATGCCAAAATGATAAAACACAGTATGAGGTTATGCCCAAAATCATTGATCTGACAGATTTAAGTGGATTCCTATAATTATCTCTAAAAATACAAGTGTAGAAAAATAAATTTAATTTCCAAAATACATAAAAAATAAAATGAAATAAATCATGAAATGATTTATAGCTTTTAAAATAATTACTTTAAAACTTATTTTATAGGAAGACCGACAGTTGAAACATGTTATTTGGACCTTTTTAGAACTCCTTTTAGAGTACCTTTTGTTAGTAAAAAAAAAAAAAAAAAAGAACTAATCTTCCATTAATAAGTGCTGACCAGCGTTTTGCATGTTTTTACTGGTATGTTGAAAGTTTGTTTAGGTGAAAAGTTATTCAGACTGGAAGCTCTCCCTTCCAGCACAGATTCTGTTTCAACATCCTCATTTTAACATCTTTTTTATTTTATTCTACATTGCCTGAAATGATCCCCATTCCTCTCCACAAATATGTAGTATTTTAATTTACATCTTTAATATTATGCGTTGTTACAGCTCTTAATGTTTCCTCATTAAATCTCTCTGCCTTACACGTGCAAAGTTTCTGCTCTTTTATTATGTCGAAGCAGAAAATCAGGCTGACCCTGCCAACATTAGGACACCAATGCAAAGATAGGAGAAAAAAAAAAAAACTATCCCACATTCTTGATTTTCAGCTTACAGTTACTTCTAATTATGGTTAACTTCTGCTGAAATTTTGAGCTTGATTGCTCGTTATTTGTCAAAGTTACTTTTAACTGCAAGAAAAAAAAAAAAACTCATCTTTCACAAAAGTGAAGAAAAACAAACACTACTTCTCATATCTAGTTGGTAATACTTCCCTCCAAACATCCAATAGTTCTGCAAAGTAGTTTCTCAGATTTCCTTAAATATTAAGCAGGTTATATTTCAGAAGACGTCAAACAATACGTTAGGTTTTTTTTTTTTTAACAGAGCGTGCAAAAAAACCCTCAAAATTCAGTTTGGACACCTTAATTTAAAAGTCTGGATACAAAACAAACACAAAACTGAATATTAAAAGGCAAAATTTATTTAATCTTTTAACAGATAGCAGGAGACAGCTCATTTATTTCTAAAATCAATTTGTGATACATAAACATCTCTGTATGTGCACATTGCATTTATTCAGTAGGAGGGGAAATTTTAATTAGAGCAAGAGAATTTGGTCTTGCATTAAAAAGGAGATTAATAAAACCTCTGATCTGTCATGACGTTGTCGTCTTGAATAAAGTTAAGAAATTCACATTTAAAAAAAAAAAAAAGACACTTTTCCCTTTTTTAAACCCAGCAGCCTTAGAAAAGACAGAGGACTACAAATGGCCTGAAAATACACATGCAGTGGTGTCTTCGTACACCCACCCCATTCCCCGCCAAATCAATGCCAAAAGACGTCAAGTCATTGAAACATCAGCACAGGACAGGAAAAAGACCAAGTGGACCCCACCTTTTCCAACTTCAAGTATTGCCACCTCAGACTCCAAACCTTCAGCTTCATCACCGTTTCTTAGGTTTACAACAAAAGCCATGACATAAGTGCACTCCACATTCATCTATACATAGAAAAATAAAGGTAACAATAAGTAGCCGTAATAATTATAACAATCACTTTACATTTCTTTTTTTTTTCTCTTTTTATACAACTGTGATATGGAATCACTTTACACCGTGGCATCATATTCCCCACCCCCCTGAGAGTTATGTTCAAGTTTCTGTAGCTACCAAAGAAGCAAACAGGAACGGCAACCTTGGTTTGGTTATTTAAATAATTATAGTAGTTGTTGATAACAGCAGTGAAGCCTTTCTGCAGACCGTTGTGCTCGAGTGTGTCTGGATTCGGTATGTACAAGCTGCGGATCCATCATGCGTCTCCGGCTTCAGTCTGATGGCTGCTGGTGAGACACTGATGGCTTTCATCCTGAAATAAACAACTTCTCTTAATGAAGCAGGAGAGAATCTGATGGGAATCAATAAGCACAGGCTTTCCAAACTAAAGTTAATAAATGTGAGTCAGAGAGGACAGTTGATGTGAAGCTCGGTGTTGCCAACCTCTGTGCGCCTGGGCTGGAAGCAGCCGCCTCACGAACCGGCCGCAATGCAGCTGCGGCATTTGTATAACTTTGGGTCGTGGGTGCGGATGTGGTTCCGGACGTTCCTCAGCCTGAAGAAACTTTTGCTGCAGAGCTGCAGATGAGAGGGAAAAAGGAGGAAATAGATCCAGAAATGATCAAGATGGGAGTTTAATTGATGAAACCACTTTTTAAAAATGGGCTGCTAATAGAGAAACAGCACGCTGCGCATTTATTAGCAACAATGACTATGTTGTCTAAAGAGTCTTTATTGAAAAAGCATAATCTGAATACATAAACCGTATATTTATTAAAGGGTAAAAAGTCACTTGTTTTTGGGTAAAAAAAAAAAATTAAAAAAATACATTATGAAATATATATTCTTCAAACCAGGGACGTACAACATTTTCCAGCCCCTAAACTGATGGATTTTATGTCCACTATGGATAGGATAATAAATCAAGAAAGTAATCACAGTTATCGAGGCTCAAAGCAAACTTTGAGTCATAACACACAAAGTTTTTTTCGTTTAAGCAATAATGGAGATATTTGTGCTAAAATATTGAATAAATAAATAAATACAATTATTAGACTACTTATTTCAATTATTGTTAAAGTGATGCACTCAAATCAGACTCCCGTGGCCTTCGGTAGACCATCACAGATCCTCCAATAATCATTTGCTCGACGCTGGAACTATGTGGAATTTGCATTGCTTAAAAGCTGCAATCTTCATCTCATTTGATCAAAAAGAACACAGTTCTAGTTTAAAGTCGTAGGGATGGTCATTCCAACCGATGCATTTCTGAATTCTCCCGAGTGGTGCCCAACTTTACACGAGTGAATAAAGTGAATATGATTGGTCGTTTATCAAGGGAGTGGCATGTTTGGCTGTGGCCGGTTTGTCGGAAGCATCTTGCTAACCAGTTAGGAATTTGGTCCTAGTGTAATTTCCCATTGGGAACCTACTAGCACTAAGTAGCACTAAACTGGTGACTTAGCAACGACACTGTCAAGGAACGCTATCGACAGCAGAAAACATGCAAGAGGAGAGTTTTGTGTCATTGGTCCTGGATGAGTCTCCTCCGTCATCCATTTTTTACTTAGAGGAGGAAAGCGGGGACGAAGTTGTTGTGGAAGAGAACGCCAGGGAGGCAGAAACTTGGTTTGGTGTAGAAGGCTTACAGCCGTACATGTTTGAGCCCTTGCCTCGCAACGCTGCCAGTTCTGTTAGCTCTATGCCTGCCGAAGACACAGACGTCCATCCCTGTGAACACTGGGACGGAACTCAATGGGAAAGGAAATGATTCTGATTTCTTATTTCAACCGTTGCATATATTGGCTATTACATATTGATTGACGGATGTCTGTTTATATATGATTGGCTAAATTTAGGTGTTCAAGCTGACGTATAACTAACTGGTCTGCATAAGATAATGAAAAAACAAAAACAAACACAGATTTAGAGACAGGAGTTTTTTTTTTTTTATAGAAATTTTCTAACTTTTGGGGCAATATCGTCTGATAAAGAGTACATTTATATAAATATTTAAGCCAGAATGATTTGACATTTAAATATGACTTCCCTATGACTTTAATTGCAACTTTACATGTTTACATCTATAATGGTAGGAGAGAAAAGGCTTTTCTTAAGCATTCAGATACCATCTGACCTCTGTTGTAGAAACTTTGGCAATTTTGCTGCTCCCTCTTAATCAATCCTCCTACCTGAATCCTAATCCAGCCATGATCGTCACACTTCAAGCTGTTTTAATAGCTGTAGCTCCAGCTGTGGGCAGGTTTTAATAGTTTTTTATTCTAGCCATCCTCCTGATAAGCCAGGACCATCAGACTCTTTGCTTTCTTATTTTGAGGAGTGGCTAAGAGAAATTCTCCTCTAGCATCACATTACATTTTAGTTCAGGAGAGAAAAGAAATGGTGGAGAATCGATTCAATTTTCTAGGACACTCTGAATAACTTATAGTAAAATATGAGCAGCTTGATTTTTAGAAGGAAATATCAAGGCTGAGTCAGTCTGGAATTTACAGAAACAAATGTTTTTTTCCTACGGAAAACAAAAAACATGGCATGTGTCCCACAATGAAAAAATAAAAACAACCAAATCAATTTGACTTAATCTGGTTTTAAAACCAAGTGAATCAAGTAGAAAATGTTAACATTTGGATGAAACCATTCTAACATCCCTAACATATACAGTTAATATATTATAGAAACATGTAATTTATTAAATTATTAACCTATAAGATTAACAAATAAACCTCTTTCCCACTGAAAATACCGGCTTTACGCGCGTTTTTCCCACATGGGTCGACCCGCTAACAATCAAAAACTGGCTCCCTTCCCGTTGGCAAAAAAAGCTGGGTCTGACCCCGTGCAGGCAAGCTGCGTGGCCTCTGTCCCCCACCGCTGCGTGTCTGGTGACACCATCATGCAGGGTTAGTGTGGATGATGTCACCGGTGCAACAGAAATCAGGACAGTGATCAATGGAGAGAAACATGTCAGGAAGCCAGGATGTACCAAGTGTGCTGTATGGTTTCACTCTTACCTGCCCAAATCTCTCACCAGTGCTGCTCCATATTTATCCAATGTAAACAGTTGTTCCGGCTTGTTAGATCAAAAGCGACTGGTGTGGTGTGTCGACGTCCGTACGTTGCGTTTAATGGTATCACGTAATTAGCGGGTCAACCAGAATGCAGATCAGAGTGGAGGTGATTTTAACGGGGGTCGCTTTCCGAGTCGTTTGACGCGTCTAGACATGCATCAGTGAGATGCTCCAGATTGCTCCTGGGTTTAAACGCGTTTATCAGCCAGTGGGAAAGGGGTAAAGATGGCTGAACTAAATCCTAGTTTGTTTTTTTTTTTGTTTTTTTTTATCTATTTAATTAGGACAGAGCACATTAATGAACAATCTTATACTTCTGTACAGATTGTAAATGAGCCAGATTATAGCATAGTTGCTAATTTACATCTGTTGTCCTCAGTGTTTTTAAAACTAAAATTCCCTTCAGGGATTAATAAATTATAACTGTATTGAATTGAATTATTTGGAAATATCTAAACACTAAGAGCTGCATGTCACTGATTTGTTGCCATGCTGGTGACATTTTTCATCTAATAGAAACTATAAAGTGTAAAACCCTGTTTGTATTCTATGTTGTAGATTTATGTGAAAACAGTGTTTATTTTACACAGGATAAAACTAATATATTGTCAGTGGAGTGTATGATGTACGTTCACACTTAACATGAATTTCTCAGCTAGAGTGAGGGATTCCCCTGTTATCTCCGTGTAGAAGTGCAGATGTGGAGCGAAGCAAAGCAGAGTGACTTGCGGTGGCGGATATGCGGAGGTGAGCGGCACGATTTAGAAAAAGTCGGCGACATTTGATCGCTGCCCTGCCTACGCACAACGTTAAAAGATCTGAGCTTTGTCTAAGTTCGCGTTGCGAAATCCAGTGAGGAACTAGATGTGGCTGTCAGCATGGCGGAGACAAGTTTTTTTTTTAATTAAAAATGGTAGATAGAGAAAATAATCTAAAGGATGAAGCAGCAATGCTCTTAAAAGGATTTAAGGTTGCTTTTTAAAAAAGCTGTTTTAATTTAATCCAGGATGGATTAAATCGCTGATCCTCCCCGGTCCTTTTTTTTATTTCTCATAGTTAGCCTAGAGGCTAGCTCCAGCCAGACGTAGCCTCTCCTCGCTTTGACTCCCAGGCTGGCTTCCTGGATGTACCACTGTCCTACTGCAGGGCAGCTCTAGTCTGTAACCCGCCCTCAGTGTTCCGTCTTCCCAGTGGACTTAATCTGACCTGCAGCTTTTTTCGCTTTCTAAAGTAAAAAACACTGCAAGTCACTTTTTAAATCCATGTGCACCATGAAGAGGTGAAACCAACGACCAGCAGATCTTATGACGAAGGAGGCTTTCGAATTCTCCTGCAGTGCAAAATGCTTCCGCTGGGCAGAGGCGAATATCAAAGCGAGCAAAAGCAGAGGAATCTGGCAAAGTTTACGCAGCTTTGGAGTCCGTGTGAACTCACCATCGTTTACAACCTTTTGGCGGTTTTAGTTCTCTGCTGCCTTTATGTTTGATTTACATTAGTAGGATTTTTTTTCCCAACCTAATAGCAGCAGCGACATAACATTAAAATGACAGCAAGATTAACTCGTTTTCTTCTTTTTTCTTTGTAAACAAAAAACAGCTGAGCAAAACTATTCAGAGTATATTTTCTAAATGTTGGTAGTAAAACTGCTAAGCTCCCTCACATCTTTTCACCTGAAGCAGTCGGTAAGGTGTGGTGGTTAACGTGAAGGAGGCTGGTTCTTACCGGACAGGGCCAGTGCTTTCCATCAATGTGCCTCAGCTGATGCATAATTAGAGCGTCGCAGTCCTTGTAGGCGGCTGGACACTGCAGGCAGGCGTGGGACGCCTTTGGGACTTTGGGGGCCTGACTCCGAGGCCCTCGAAGCTGCTTGAGCCGGGCTCGATGTACCGGGTCCATCATGGCACAGCTTCTGCTGCTGCTCAGGGCGAGGACTTTATTTTGTTTCTACATGGAAAGAAAATGCTTTAGAAAACTGTAAATCTAGATGCAGCAACACATAATTTAATAATTCACAGATCAAATTACTTTTCCAAACAATCACTGATCTTCCATAGTATTTCTCTATATCTGTTCCCTGATTGCTGCAGCAGAATCAAAACCAACCTTCAGGACTATGGTTAGTGGGTGTATGGGAAGATTTGGAGCCTGAGTGGATCAGAAAATCCACATTCTGGATTGTTCTTCTAATCATGGTTACTACTGTTTACCTTTGGCGTCTTCTTAGATGTTTTGGACCCAGCACATTTGTCCAGATGGGTTCCGGTTTCTTTGGACTTCGGTCTGTGCCTCAGAAGTCGTCCGTGTCCAGCTCTCCTCTCCTCCCTCCTCCCCAGGCACAGGCCGGTGGGGCCCCGGGCCCTCAGCGCCCTTCCTTCTGCCTCGAATTTTGCTGGAACCTGAGACACGGATCGGGTGAGACAGATAGCTACACTCTCCTCCTCCTTCTTCACACCTGTCCCGGACCCCCCCACCGGCCGACAGAAGCTGAACAGGAAGCCTGAGTCCAGCAGCTTGATGGGGGGTTTGCTCTGCCGCTTGCCCAGGTCTGGAGAGGGAGGATCGGGGAAAGGTCCAACCGGCACCGGTTCTGCTGGTTCTTCTTTAATAGCCTTGTAGAGGGGGTGACTATAAAGAGAAGGTTGAGGGGGGTGTTCTGGAAGGCCATTGGGTTCAGAAACCTTCCCTTTGGGTCTTGCGTCCTCTCTGACCTTGCCCTTGGCCCCGCCCCCCTCTTTCATGGAGGCCCGTTTCAGCTTAGCTTTGGCTGCCGGTCGGCTGCTGTTGTACCGCAGCGATTTCACCGCATCTGCGGCGACCTTCTGTCTGGTCTGCGTCCTCTGCGAGGGCAGGGGACTTGGAGACGTGTGTCCACTTTGTGATGAGTGCCTGAGACCTGAGATGGAGCATTCAGTCGTTTCTGCTTTAACTTTAACCGCGTTTCTTGCCAAGCTTTTCTTCTTTCTGTAATGCAGAGGCTGCTGGGCAGCATCCCCCTTCCTCACAGACCGCCTGAGCTCCCTCCCACCAAACACCGGCATTGAGGTCCACTGGAACAGGTCCGGTAGGACCCCTTTACTTCTCATGCTCCTGTCAGTAGGAGGGATCAGCTGCTGGAGACTTTGCTTCCTCTTAGCTGAAATCTTTTGGATGGAGCCCAAACCTTTGGACTTGACTGACTTTTTGAGGAGTTGTGTGTTGACAGGGTTGCAGAGAGGAAGCGACAGCTTCACGTCCTCATATGAGGTTCTGGGGGGTGAAGGTCGTGGTTCCCGCCGCTTAGTCAGGGAATAGTTGTTGGCCTTTAACTTCCGAAGTCGTTTCTTTTGCCTCCAGCCGATGAGATCTTCTGGTCGGGGCAGGAGAGCGGTCCTCTGGAGCCCGAGGACGTTCATGAGCTTGTACTTCTCCTGCGCTCTTGCATAATCCTCCTCGTCTTCTCCCACCTCCTCGGCTTCCTGTTTTACCCTCACCGGGCTGCAGGAGGTGCCCTGTCGCGACCTGGATGACATAGAGTGAGATTTTCGGTTCTTCTGAGGCATCTCTGGCTTCGGCAGGAACCTCTGAACTTCTTTGGCGGCTCCAGGAGAGGAGCGGAGGAGACGGGGGGTTGACACCGATACGGGGGAGTAACTCTGGGACCGAGAGGCGCCGATGCCATGGCGCGGTGTGCTGGCTTTTTTGGAAGAGGGAGATTTAAAGTCCATGAGCTTCATCCTGTGTGAGGGACTCAGAGGGAGGCCGTTCTCAGCCTGAGGTTTTGGCGTTCTGCGCAGGTTGCGCTTTGGACTTTCTGACAAAGACTCATCGGACGTCTCTAGTACCAGACTAAAGCCTTCATTCATGTTCTCTAGTTTTAAAAGCCCTTCCCTTTGCTGGTGGGCGCTCTGACTGAATGAGGCAGAGCGAGCTGAGCTGAACGCCTTTCCAGGAAGATGGAGCTGCTGCTCCTGCTCTTTGAGGAGAGCCGCACAGGCTTCCACTGCAGGCCACATGCCCAGGTGACGGGCCATCGCACAGACCTCCGGTAGGTTCTCCTGATGAACACGCAGGGTGGAGGAGTAGGAGAAGTCCAGCAGAGACAAAAGACTGTCCTCGCTGAAACCTGGGGTGATAAAAGCTAGCGTTAGACAGGAAGGACAGCTGTGTTGTCCACTACAAAAACATTTGGAAGCTTCTAGATAAAAGAAACGTCTGTTACATCTAACTATGGCTGCATACCAAGATAAGGAGTCAGTCAGTCTGCGTCTCAAACTGACAAAACCAGACTAAACCCTCTTTTTACCTAAATTAACCTAAATTAAGATTTAAAAGCTATGCTTGTTAGGGTTTCTGATTTATTAATTAATTTATTAATTAATATAAACAAAAGTTAGGACTGTTAAAATATGTCCACATCCCTGTTTTTTTTTCTGTTCAGGTTTTTTTTTCAGTGAGAAAATGATTCAGAAAGATTCAGAAACAAAGTATCTAAAGAAGAATTGAACTTTTTTTCTGTGTGAAGTTGTTTCAGTGCTTTTGTTCCACAAGGTCGACGGCAAATTGTCACAAACAGGATCTTTCAAAGTCCTTCCTGATTAACTGTCCATTCTTGTTGCAAGCACAACTTTTAACATATTTTGATTTAGCTTTTTGTGATATAAAAAGAAATCATTAAAGTCATTATGATAAATGACCTCCATTTTTTTTTAGTGGACAAGTCGCAAAGATATTTGTCTGCAGCCTCTGCTCCAGTCTGTGGCTGCTTGTCTCCACTAGATTTGTGCATCAAGTGACTAAAACCTTAGTCTGATATAATCTGGATGAAGAGTGTCTTCCTTTAATTATATAAAAAAAAAGCATTCTTCACACTGATGCAACTTTAATATTTCTATTCTACACATTAAAACTGTGTCATAGTGAATCGTAGAACCGTGATGCTATCATTCTGAAGATCATGGACATTTTAAGGACCCACCAGAGAGATCTATGTCTGCCATCTTGCTCGAGTCCATTTCAGCCAAAACTTCGTGAAAGTGATCGCTGACAGCCGCCAGGACGGCTCGGTGAGCCGAGAAGGATCCGCCGTTCGTTCGCAGGGTGATGTCACAGAACAGCCCCGCCTCCCTCTGACTCCTCAGCTTGCTGAGCAAGTCGGCGCCATGTGATGGGACCGTCTTGGAGACGCATCTCCTTCCATCAAACCCCTGAGAGGCAAAGGCAGCGGGACATAAAGTAATAAGGTAAAGAAGTTGTCATGGTAGAAAGAAATCAATGAGATTGATGAAGAGAGGTGTGAAAGGAAACCAATGAAAGAAAAATTGGAAATTACACAGCTGTACATAAGTGAAAAGGAGAAATATTAAAATGTCCTCCTCTTACCGCTGATGTTTTACTGTGCAGACTCTTGCATTGTGGACAGTGAAGGACAAAGTCTCTGATCTGAAAGTACATTCCTGTGGGTAGGTAAAAAAAAAAAAAGACAAGAATACATTTTAGCACAAAGAAAAATAAGACAAATAGAAAGAAAATCTGCAAACATTTGAAGGTTATGAGTCAACAAGCATAAAGGTGTTTTTACAACTCCTCCTCTCATAAAATAAAAACAAATAAGATTAGACAATCAGCTGAGATTTAAAAAAATTTAACTTTTCCCCCAACGAACAAAGACAAAAAAACTGGAGAAAACGTTATAGTTTACTGCTACGAACACATTAAGTATAGAATAAAAACTTATATTTTTCTATTTCTAGATTACCATAAATAACCTCTACAGGAGGAAAAGCAATCCTTCTGCTCTGCAGAATAAGACGATTTGAGCCCAAAACAGAGAGAAGAGTTTAAGCAGCTCACTTAAAACCACATAGTTAAATATTCACACCCTTTAAGGGGTGACAACTTTTGAAATCCCAATTCAATGACAGCTGTTTTGTGAAGGATACAGAGGTTTACTTGAAAACATCAGGAGACAAACAGCATCATGAAAACAGCTCCTGATGTACCCACTGTTTTCCTCTACAAATGTTTCCCACCCCTTTTCATGAGGTATAGCACGTTAGCATCAATGAGCTGAGAGCAGGAAAAGGTGAGATTCACTGTAGGTATGAAGAATTTGCACGTGTGGCTCTGAATAAAGCGTCCCAGCAGGCTTTAACAGCAGGGAAGGTATCAATTCAGATTTATAGGATCGATTCAATTCTGATTTTGAAGATTTAGAACCGATTCTTTTCCATCTCATATTGGATTCCTGGCATCAAAACATTTCTTAACTTTTCCTGAATTATATGACTGAGCAGTTTTGTAACAAATTGGCAGTAGCATCATGCTAACACTCAACAACACATTAATAAAGTAATGGAAGTTAATAGAAAATGTCTTTTTTTTATTAATCTATAGTTGTATGAATCAATTGATATAACTTGCTGTCATTTTGTACATCTCTGATGTTGCTGTTATTTTCAAATATCCATTACTTTAAAAATGTCTATAGTTGTATATTGGTTATTTATTCTCCAGGTGCACAGTTTTATATTGTTAAAAACACTTTACAGTACAGGATTTTATTGATTATATTTTAACTCTTCACTAGTATGTTATTACATACATTTTTCTAAGGTCCACATTTGTGTGACCATTTTTTCTATAATCATTTTGCGACTGTAAACACCAGGATTTAACCATTGTGTTACAATAAGGGGATTTTCTTTTCTATTCAATTCAATATGATGATTGATTCATGATGGGCATTTTTTGTTGTGTAGGTAGACATACAAACACATGGCTGTCCTCTTAAACTGAAGTTGGGACGAGTGACACTCAGAGAGGCAATCAAAAAGTTTTATGGTAACTCTGGAGAAGCTGCACAGATCTGCTGCACAGGTAGGACATTTTATATACAGGTCGATTATTAGCTGCCCACTTCAAAAATCTGGCCTTAATGGGAAAAGAAGAGACCTTAAGAATCCCCCTTCTAAGTTGGTGAACATTTTAAAAGTAACTCAGGAAAGATGTGGAAGAAAATGCTGAGAACAAATGAGAATAAATCTGTTTTTACCTCCATGCACAACCCTAAGTCTAGCTGAAAACCAACAGTGATTATCATCATCCAACTGGATGGATGAGCTGAATGAAAAATAATTAAGAATGGGAATAACTCCCCTTTTAGCAAAGCAACCTTAAACCTTTAACCAGAATATACATAGAGTTCACTACAACAATGCATTTACATTCAGGGTTAGGTTGGTTTAAACCTTCATCCAGACAGAGACCAGTTTTTGTACAATCACAAATAAAGGTGGTTATTATCATTACCATATAACTTTTAAAGCTTCAAAGGAAAAATTGTGGCAAAATTAAATTGCTTTATTATTAGACCATAGTGAGAGTTTGTGGGAGAATTAAATAAATACAAAAAAAGAGCTGAAATTTTACAGAGATTCCTCTAAAGACCACCACCATGACTGCAGTGAAAGGTAGTTTAAGCGTTGAATAAATTCAATAACAATGCATCAGCTTGCTTTCACTTCATAGGTGTTTACTTCTCTCTCCCATCCATAAAGCCATTTCTGCCTCCGTTTTTTTTTTTCAAATGAATTTAGTCCAGAGCAACAGCGGACATTTGAAAAAAAAGCTAAATCTGTCTGTGTGCTCTAAATAACCATGATGGAAATATTGTTATTGTCATTAAAAGAAGAAACAGCAACGGTATTTATACTTCTTTTTTTAGAAATCGAAAAAGAAAAACATAATTATCTTTTTAAGCTATATTTATGGAAACAAAAAAAAGAAGTGTGGCCTGATGAATAATTTGGTAGTTGCGCTTTCTTTAGTCCTGCTGCAGAAACCATACAAACAGAAAGAAAAAAAAAACTTCAAAGAAATGTGATTTTTTTTTTTGCTTTCAATCTAACGAAATTGCTCAATTGGATTTTTATTTATTTTATTATTTTTTTGGGGAGGGCTGGGTGTGTGAAAGTTGTAAAGCGTCACTACGGTGGCCCCTAAAGGGCCACACGTGGCTCAAGACCTGCAGTTATGACACCTCTGCTCTAGGAAGGTAAAAATAATAATAATAAATAAAAAGAAAAGTTAGATTGCCCTAAAAATAGTGTAGCAATAAAATTTCAAAGCATAAAAATTCAAAGATCAGGAGAAATAGTTAAAATCTACATTTAATTTCAGAAAAGTCCTATAACTTTTATAAGATTTTATTCAAAGCCAGGGTGAATAGGCTGCAGAACTCTGAAGCGTTCATTTATTTTATCATTTATTAATATTTAAATAAGACTGTTGTTTGTTCTTGGTAAAAAGTTAAAGGGAAACATCGTTGTAAAGTTGCTCAGGTGTTCATACCTTCCCACCAGTAGTTCTCAGCCACGCATTTATAGGTCTCTTCCAGGGAGAGGTGACGCTGGCCAGGTCTCCTCCTGTGGAAGGTGGAGATGGCCTCCTGCCTCCTGTCCTCCCCCAGAACCTCCCGGTAGTGGATGAAGCCCTTTTCAAACTTCTTGCGGTAGAGCAACCCGTCAATCACCTCAAAGTTAGAGGACCTGCGCCCCGCAGACTCCATCCCCTTCTTGGACGCATAAAAACTGCGCCCTGCGTCCATTTTTAACCAGATCTTCTGTTCAGAAACCTTCCCAGCTGACCTGAGACAAAGTCCGCGTTGATGTGATAACAGAAACAGATCAATCCGTCTTGATCTAAAATAAATAAGTTCAGATCGATCAGTGGGAGTTAACAGAGTCCAGATAATAAAGATCTGAGGCTGGCCGCTCCTGTTTGTGTTCTAGCTGTCAATGAGAGCATCACTTCCCACTATCCTAACAGTTGTGGCATACATGTTGTCCCCTCAGTAGTCACACTTCCACTTTCTTTCTTTCTAAGCTACTTTCCAGTAAAAAAAAACAAAAACGCTCATTAAAAACCGTTAGGTTTAAACATTAGAGTGGGTTCAATAAATAAGGTTAAAGTTGGGGTTTCGCGCAAACTACAGTGATGTAAAGTAAGTCCTGACAAGCACGTAAAGTAAGCAGGCTTGGCTGCCAGTCTCCCACCCGGCAGCTCGTCTTCCACGCACTTCAACTGTCGGGAGTGGCCTCCGGGGCTGGATGTCGGCGGGCAGCCTCACCTCCCGGCGTTAACTTGGGATTTCTTCTCGCCAACTCGACTCGGAAGCAACATGATGACGCAGCTATCAGCTAAAGCATCGCCGCTTGAAACGATCTCAAAGCGAGGCGGACCCTCTCTCTCTCTCTCACCCTTCTCGCCGCGAAAGCCTCCGAAATTTCACAAATGCCCGCCTTTTGCTCCCAAAAGCCACCTAACAAGCTCCGGTTAGGCCCCCGGCATAGTTAACCCTGCTCCTGTAGCCGCGGAGGCGCTCTGGTTGGAAAATTATCAAAAATTTTCTAACTCGTAACCTTCTGTTTGTTGCTAATCAGCAGACTATCCGAGCCAACTGCTCCCCGCCTTCACACAAAGACCATTAGTAGAAGCTTTAAAGATCCTCCACTACGCGAAATCTGATTGGATAAGAGAGGTGTCAATCAATTTATCTCGCTGTGTTTTGACAGCAAGGTAGGTTGTTCAGTCACGATGCAAATTTATAAGTATTTATTTGTTTCACTTGCTGCTAAGTCAGGTTCAACGGTATATTCTGATCAAAAATACTGCATATATGAATTCATATAACATGTCATGCATTTAATGATTAAAAATGAAACGCAAAGATATTTGACAAAGACTCGCACTGTTGAATAAACATATTAAAATGTTATGTAAGTCTGAACATTATAATAAGACGCTTATTTTGTTAGAAATCACCTCTAAATATTGTCAAAGAAACCCAAGGCTTTAGTCTTAAAGTATAATTAAAAGCAGAAACATTGGAGTACAATTGATAATCTTAAATAATAAGAAGCATATGTAATATTTGTAATACCATAGATGCCAATAGCAAAATTAATTGTATTTTTTTGTTTTTGTTTTATGCAATAGACTAGAAAATATAGTACATCATTTTAAAATCAAGCTTTTTTAACAACAAAAGACTTTTAAAACAATTGACAAGCATTTGTATTCAACTTCCCCTATCACCCTTTTGTTTGACATTTTTGATCTGTTGTCTTTCTAAACTCTCAAACTTAGTCAAATTGGAAGTATATTTTAGTTTTAGTTTTTTTTTTTTTTTTTTTGTCTTTTTAAAGGTTAAATTAGAGAAGCATCTGAAAGGTGCAGGACCCTGGACCTCAAGGACCAGAATTGAGGCCACTACACTAACTTGTGAATATGCTGATCCCACATCAAAAAAAAGATTCAAAGCATATAAAGCAATGTAAAAAAAAAAAAACATGGTCAAAATGTTATCTTGCAATAAATGGATTAAAAAAAAAAAAAAAAAAAGATTCAAAGCACATAAAGCAATTGAAAAAAAAACATGGTCAAAATGTTATCTTGCAATAAATGGATTTTATGACATTTTATAACAGATTTAAAACAAGACATGAAAATACCAAACGATTGAAAATGTATCCACAGTTTAAAGAGTCTGGTATAAAGAGGCAAATGCAGCCGGTCAGCTCATCGATGTGACCTAAAACAAAAACACCAGCTTCACAGAGAAGTGTGGCGATCAAGAATATTTAGGCATACGTAATCCAACAGGGGGAATTAAACTTAATGCTGCTTTGCAAAGGAAACCATTCAAAAGAAGTAGGTATTTTAAGTTCAACCTGTTTCTTTAAAAGATGACAAGCACTCTTTTGCACACATGGATTAGCAAAAGGGAGCTCTAAGATACCACCTGCATGTATTGCATAGCAGTAGTCAGTAGAAGGTGTGAGAAAGTTTACTCTCTAGTACAGGACTGTGTACCTATCTGTGACTTTGCATCTAAAGTTATGATGATGGTGGATATAAAGCATACATTACACTACTTTAAAATGTAATTATAAGCTCTTATTGAGGACTGAGAAGCAAATAACAAAAAAAACAAAAACAACCCTTTGTCTTTGTCCTATTTATTAGACCACTGTGGTAAGTGTCTAAATGCAAGCCCTCTTATAGGGTAACGGTGTCCTATCTCTGGGTGGACAGAGTTGTTCCAGAGTCGCTGACAGTGTTGTAGATAAAAGTGAAGGAGAAGAAAGCCGTCATGGAAGACAGCTCCTAACTTTAACGGCACCAATAGAACAAAATAACAAAAAATACTGCAAACCCGATTTCTAAATTAAGAACTGATAAACATTATAATTAGACACAGACAAAGGCATGTCCCTTCCTATGAGAGGGATTTTTCTTCCTGTATTTCATTGTATTTAATCTTCCCATCAACTCTTCCCTTTTTTGCTCTCATTGAACACATCAGTGTTGGTACTATGATCCGTTGATCAGGTCCGAAACTTAGATTGATTAAAAAAAACTTTTTTCCATTCATAATTAGACAGAAAAATTATCTTTATTGGAGGTTTTTTTGTGTGTGTGTGTGCAGAATTTGAAGCAGTGGAAGCAAATCCTTTGCCCCCTGAATAGTTCCTGATAGAGCATTTCTACTGTCACAGAAAGTTTTTCATCATTAGTTCAGAATATATGTATATTTTTTACAGTTTCGGACGTTTGGCTACCTTAACAGGTCTGAATTTAGTGGAGAAAGAAGTAAAGAAATTCTAAGCTATTATAAACTTGCATGGTGCGCCTTGAACACAAACAGAGCCCAATACATTAAAGGTTCTTGATTTTTCTTAAAACAGAAGCCTACTAAGCAAAAACTATCACTGCATGTGCTAACAACTGCAGTATTTTCTTCACCTCAGGAGAGAAGACACAAACAGGGCTGTTAGTCTTTCCAAAGTGTCACAGCTCAATTTTTATGTATTTTATTTACGTGTTTATTTGAACAGGGACAGTGCACATTAATAAACATTTCTGTAAATGAGCCAGTGTTAGCTAAGTACCTAATTTTCAACTGTAGTCCCTGGGCAAGGTTTAAAATGCCAACATAATAAAACAACAACATTAAAAATTAGTGCAAACAATAAAATACATAGTTAGTAATCTACATAAAAGTTGGACAGTGATCTGTAAAAAACAAAGACATTATTACAAATATAAGATTTAAAAAGCATTGACAAAAGTGCATCAGACAGGCAGACAGAAGTTATTGATTATGATTACAGGTTTGATTCTCCTGTAACCATGCTTTTAACATGTTTTTGAAAGTTCTGTATGCAACAAGGACTTTATTTTCATGATCTAGAAAAAAGAAATCAGCTGGGAGTTCATATTATAAGAGTGACTCCTGCTTGAATGTTGTGAGGAATCCACTTTAAAGTCACTAATTCTTCATTATGTTGTCCATGCAAATAAGAATAGAGTAGTATTATAGGAATGGTCTGTTTTATCATTACTGGACATTTCCATAAACATGACAGAAACCTACTGTAATTTTTTTACAAGACAATATTTTAAAAGAATTTTTTTATGTAGAAAAAGCATGGCTCTACAAAATTGATTTGGGATATTTAATTTAGCTTTTCTTTTTCGTAAATTGTTTTTCACCAAGACAGAAATAAGTAAGAATATATGAAAAAGGCTGCTGAGAAAATATGAAAAAAAAGAACATAAAGAAACACCTTACTTTTCATTCACCATCCAAAACTAACAAACTATTCTGTTTTTTTTTTTTTTACATCAAGTCTTCTTACTAAGAAGACTTGATCTAAGAAGTCTTTTGGACTTCCTCTTATCCTTCTTTTCCTTACCATTTCTTTTATACCATGCAAAGAATATCTGCTTGTTCTAGTAAAAAAATAATAAATAAATAAATAAATAAGGTAAAACAGGAAATTTAGGTGAAAAGAAGCATAACGCCTTAAAAATTAATAGTAAACAAACAAATCCAGCAAAAACCTCAAGTTCTTCACCTCTGTCCTTGAATAAAAAAAAACAGAATATAGTTTCTCACAGTTTAACAACAATCTAAGCTGACCTAATCTGATGAAACTTTGATCCTGATTATTCCTGAAATTATAAACAGGTCCCTAAAACCATGCATCACTGTAGTCTTTGCAGCACTGCTGAGGGAAGCAGTAACATTTGAGGCATATTTTATCCCATCTAATATTACCTGTGTAATAACTAAAACATACAGATAACCCTAAACCTGCTGCCAATCATCTCTCAAATTATTTCGATCTCCAAAGATTTTTGTTTGTTCTTAGAGTGACTGCAGATGTTTGTCACCCCAAGCTGAGAACTGTTTCATTATGTACCATAACATTGAATGAATTACAAATGATGCTGCTTTCACTTTAAATTCAAACTGTTTCAGTGTTGGGTTTAGCTGCTTGGGTTTGAAGGTTATACCAACGCCTCTGACCACAGCCAGTGACTGAAGTGAAAAAATACCCACAGTGGGTACAGATGTACTTCACGTTGAGAACACAGCAGAAGCAGAGACACATCTGTGACCTATAACAACCTGAATACGCTTCTGCTTGATGGAAGTTAGGGTCTCTCTTTTAAATTTATTTCATTTTTGGGTGTGCAGGTAGTTATTGTACACGACTCTTGTATGGAGGCCTTATTTCTCTGACCCGGGTTCGTATCCAGCCTGTGGTCCTTTGCCACATGTCTCTCCCATTCTTTCATACCCCCTTCATGTCAGCCTACTGTTAGAAAAATGAGCCACTAGTGCTGTAAAAACTCAAAAATAAATTAACTCAATTTTTACAGTTTTTGGTTTTTTTATGTTATTTTTTTACGGTTCAGCTATTCTGCAAGTCCCTACTGCAAAAGCAACAACAAAAATCTTTATAGCATGATGCTGCCACCACCATGCTTCACTATGGGGAAAGTATTGACTTAGTGATGAGTGCTGCCTGATTTCCTCCCACTATAACACCTGGCACTCACTCCAAACAGCTCAATTTTTGTCCAGTCAGACCAGAAAATTAAGTTTCTCATGGTCTGAGAGTCCTTCTGATCCCCTCTAGAAGGGCTCGTACATGCCCTTCTTTCTCTTTTCTTTTTTAAAGAAGCACCTTTATTTGGCCACTATACCATACAGGCCTAATTTGCAGCCCAGCAGCTTTAGGAAGAGTCTGAGTGGTTCCAAACTTCTTCTACTTATGAATGATGGAGACCACTGTTTTCTCTGGGAGCTTGAATACAGCAGAAATGTTTTGGGACTCTTCCTCAGCTTTGTGCATTAGGATATTCAGAATCAGAATCAGAAATACTTTAATAATCCCAGAGGGAAATTACTTTTGTTACACGCTCTAGTTACAGTTTTACATGATATATACACACATCCAACTATACAATATAATAAAGATAAAAAATAAGAATAAAAAGAGATAAAATATATATACACATATAGCTCCTGTCTCAGAGGTCTACAGGCTTATTGCTAATGATCCTAATCATGTTCAGTCTCCTGAATTCGAATTCAGCACACTTGGACTAAATGTAATT